TTTTATTAACAACGAGCGACGGCTAAAATTTACGGATTGTTACTCAGGAAGGTGTCCTTGACAACATATGTCAAGCTCATTGAAATCGGAGGGGGGTGACCTTTTCTGTATATTTACTATATATATTAATATACATACCTTTCTCTCTGACATCTTAAGTTAGCTTGAGCAAGCTATTTTGATATAGACGTGATAATCTCAGTGTCATTTGCCTGCGTATATATTGTACGAACAGCCTCTATAATGCAGAAGTATATGATAGTATATTGAAAATATTAATTCTGAAATATATATATTGATTAAAAATAACACGGAAAAGTGTTGCGATTATGCTGATGCCAAGAAAATATATAGGGAAAATCCTTTCAAGTGCTACATTATATATAGTTACCAATTTTAAAATAAAATTATAAAAACTTACGTATATAATTATATTTGCAAGTTCCAAGTCTTTGAAATTGCGCTTAGCTCTTTTACCAGCCCAGCTGAACTGTAGAGCTAAAGTATTTGTGAATACTTATTTTAACATGTTGCGTATCATTATATGTGGATTGCTTCCACCAACCAGCTTTAAAATATGAAGCTAAAAAAATAAAACCAATGAATGAATATAAGGCCTTACGAGCCGTTCTCAAAGTGTTGAGCGAGAACTTATACATGTATATATATATATATTTTTTTTTCGCAATATTTTAATTATTAATCGTTGATTCGCTCGTGAAATTGTCAAGAGAATGAGTTGAAAGGCCATTTTAATTATTAGTTAGGGGGGTATCCGGGGTCTCTCATATGTGAGATGCAAATCTAGCATCCCATATGATTTTAAGAATTGAGATTTCAATTCGAAAAACTCACTTGTAAAAATTTACAAGTGTATTCGTTACATGTGTATACGTATATATATATACATGTATAAGTTCTCGCTCAACACTTTGAGAACGGCTCGTAAGGCCTTATATTCATTCATTGGTTTAAATTTCACGAGCCTTAAGTCTTTATTAATTAAAAAAATAAAGTATATAAATAATATTAGATTTTACACACACATCTGCCTGAGTATATACTAATGCTAATAGTAAAAAAATAGCAGCTATTAAATATGTAATACTATTTGATTTCTAAATATTTCTTCTTCTAATTGCTCCTCAAATAATTGTAATTCATCCAGTGATAATATTGGTAATTGAATATCTAATTCTTCGTTTATATTTATTGGATGTGATATTTTTTCTTCAAGCAAATTAATTTTATTTTGCAATATGTCCATTTTATATAATAGTTTATTTAATATAAATAAAATTTGCTTTTTAAATTCTGTAACAATTATTATGTGACTGTAGTATTGTATGCGTATGTGTGTGAATACACGCGCGCTTTGAAATAAATATTAAATAAATAAAATATATATTTGTTTACATACATATACGCTTTTATAACAAGAAAAAAGCATTAGGAGTGCGTTTCATGCATATGCGCATATAATCTATAATATACGTAACGTGTACTATAGATAAATCCGCGCATACGCATGAAACAGAACGCATTTTTAAGATTAATATACGTACCATCAGAAACATTTTCTTTATTCATATCAGCATCAATAATAGTTTTTTCAGCATATATTGAACTGCTTGGAATGCATTGTCTGGAAACACCTGTATAAAAAAAAAGAAAAAAGAAGAGTACAAATGTTAGTACAGATTATTTATGAATAGTAAATAGATTGTTTCTACTTACTGCTATTATACCTTTTATTAGTATTTTCTTCATTAGAAGTATCTTCAATAACAGTGTTTTCAGCATATATTGAACTGCTGTTTTAAAATACATTGTCTAGAAACACTTGTATAAAAAAAAAAAAAAAGATAAAGAAAAAGAGTAGAAATGTTAGTACTGATTTATGAATAGTAAATAAGTTATTTTTACTTACTCCTATTGTACGTTTTATCAATGGAAGTTCCTTCATGTGATGTGTTAATATTTTCTATAACTTCGCTTATTATAGGCTTACTTAATATGTAATCTTGTAATTGTGGAAAAGGAGGTAGTTGTTTCTTCTTTTTGATGTGTTGATTTTCTTTATTTTCTTCGTCTGAAGAAGATAAAAAATACATTTTGTATTTATGCGTCGTTTCTGTTTTTTTTCTTTTTCTTAACTCGTCAGATGAAATTTCATTTTCTATATTAGGTAGATGTATCCTGCGCAACGACTAATTTTTCAACTTTTCATAAGTTTCTTTATCAAAAACAAAAAAAATATGAGTTTTTCATACATGTATATATATATATATACAGGGTGTCCCAGAATTGGTTTAACATCTCTCGTAGGCAGGTAGAAGGAATAAAACTGAGGTGAAAAGTCCTATACCATTTTGCTAGATTCGCAATAGTTACTGAGATTTTAATTAACAAAGATCCGCGCGCGAATAA